AATCTGAGCTTTTGTACTGTAACTAAGAGCTGAGCAATTCTGGTGTTCATGCAGGTCTGCACATGAATCCACACTGGATGTGGATGTGAAAGGTAAATTCCCTTTGTGCACGCTCATGCATTTCACAAGGTGAAATGGAAATCTAGAAAAAAGATCTGTAGGTATTCGTGCTAAAGTAAGTTCACCTTCTGTCTTTGGTTCATTTCCACAGCAGTTAAGAAACTCCTCTTTTTGTATATAAAAGATGAAGGATGCAACAGAAGGCTGTCATTTCTTTATTTCTGGGCATAGCACAACCTAGAGAATTAATTACATTAAGGCATTAATCCAATCTGGTAAAAACAGTTTTTAATCTTATATTGGACTCTACTGTATAGCAATACATTTCAGTGGGATATGTGAACAAAACTATGAAAATCTGCTAGTATATACTGCTGGGTACATAATATTGTTTCAAATCAACTACTGCATGTTTCTTTGATCAGGCCAGCTGATAAAATTTTGTGTAAAATGGGAAGAAGAAGATCAGTGATGAAACTGCTATCTTCCTTGGTATTTTTTGTGTGAGATTAATCCTGACAACACAGGTAATTGTGCAAAATCTGGAACTCTAGTTCTAAAATTACATTGTGTGCCAACAGATATGATTTTGCACAAAAGTAGAACTACAGTTAGCTCAGTAAAAAACGGTAACATTTCTTTGTCCTTTTAACCATAAATCTGTTTTTGTACAAAATCACATCTGACTGCACAAGTTGTGGTTTTTTTACTGAAAATTTTGCCTCATCTCTTTTCCCTTATATATTTTTCCTCTTGTGCTTTTATGAAAGAATGAAATATAAAAGTCTAGTTCAACATATATTTAGCTATGATAACCTAAAAATACAAACATAGGAAATCTGATAATTAGGCTCTCAGAGCCCTCTTGGACATGCTATATGTAATTTCTGCTCACAGCCACCTTTGTTCTGAGAAGAAGGTCTGATACACTTTATAGACAAAGCTTCACATTTAGGTAAGGACAGAGAAATTCAAATGCTACTAGTGGTATCTGCCATGTGGTATAACGAGCACTGCTGTGGTACCTTCATTGCATCATGTCACCACTTGCATATTTACCTTCTGAGCCTCTGTGTTGTATTAACCATGTTTTTCCTGCTTAATGGATCTTCACAGCTCAACTTCCATTTAAACATAGAACCCCTTTTACAAGGCCTAGGTGCTACAAAACAGCCTTTCTACAAATTAAAGTCAGCCCATGTGCATCTGCATTTGGGAATGCTTCTGAAAGGGTTTTAAAAGCAATCAATTACAATAATTCATACATTTAAAGATGTAACTCCAACAGTCAATCCAACTTTTCTTTTCATTATAAGGTAAATGTGAATGCCAGCTTGTTACTATTCCTGGGGTTTGTCTCTACACAGCAATCGTACCATTTTAAGTAGAAGTGTGGAACATATTTCATGTTTGTCTGTGCATTTTTTAGTTCACTTGGATTATGATACCTTTGAAATTAAAGTGCAGCAGCAGTTCCTGAATGATTTAACATGTAGACGATTTTACTCTGAAGTAGGAACAACTTGTTCTTGTTTATCTTAATCCAAAAATTGAGTTATATGAAATTGGAATAGTTTCTCATCATCTGGAATAAAAATACCCAGGTCATACCCTGATGCAGGAATATCAGTTACTGAACTGACATGCAGCCTAAGGCTTAATTAAACACATAAAGTTCCTTATAGGTACATCAGGCCTGACATCCGACATTTCCTGTTCCTAAAGCGTGGGCACTTTCGTGGCAATGAGGCTAACTGGAACTTCACTGTGTAACCCCTGTACACCCTGCGAAAATAATCACGGTCCCACTCCTTCAGTGAGCAAGTGATCGATTGCTGCTCTGCAGCGGGGAACCGCACAGCCTTCAGACTATTCAATAGATTGCATGTGGCAAAAAGGGAACACTGCGCAAAGGGTGTGAATGAGTCATTCGACATTTCAGGTTGACTGAAGTCATTCTGCTACATTTATTTCTAATCTTGATGTGCTATCCACATTTGCATGTTAAGCAGGATGGGAAGAAAGAGATTTGAATTATTTGCTACAATACACACGTGGAAAACAGCAGACTCTGCATGTGTGTGAGAATGTGGGATTATACACACGACAGGGTGAACACAGCATCATGTGAAGTGCCTTTTCTACCCTTGTACAAAAAGCAAGCATTCTGCACGCAAGCCTGAACACATCTGAGCCAAACTAAGTTTGAACACATGTATCTCTAGGGATCTGAGTATAAATGAAAGATGTTCATTGGCAGTATGCCTGAATGGAGGAACAGAGGTCCCACGAGCATACTTCAGGTGACATGTGTGTTGTGTTTTCTTTGGCAACTATAAATCCGAGCAACTGTGAATGAGCTGGTCTGTGTACACTCGGAGGGTAGGTGCGTGAGTTGTGTGCATGTGGGTGACAAGGAGCGCCCATGAGCAGGTGTCAGTTGAAGCTGGAATTTATACATTAGTCAAACATCATCAGCAGTGAACCACCTACTTAAAGGTTTCCATGGAAAGAATACATGGCAACCTCTCAAACTATGATCTGGCCTAACACTATGCTCCTTCGCTGCTGGTCATACTTCCAGTTTAAAGCACAAGTTTGCAGAGAGTCTGATTTCTTATAGCGCACCCTGAAGTCTGTTTGATCCATGCATATTTAGCAACTTTTATTTTAAGTATTTATTTTAAGTATTAAGCCATTTTAAAGTACATGCTCACCTCTGAGGCTTAGGAGCCTGAGTTTAAGCACTTGGGTTTAAAACTCTGGACAAAGACACTGACTTAGCTCTCATTTAAGAAAAAAATAGCTATCAGTATGGAGACAAAGATCCTGGTGAAATGCCTCACAGCAAATATCTTCTGATGGTGAGGAGGCAAACATAAGATACTTCATGAGATACTCAAGGCTATGTCATAAGGACTCGTGCTTTAAACTGAAGATGGAGGACCTTTCTGTGAATATGGAATCAGTGGGCCACACACAAACTAATTCTTGAGGAGACGAAGTATCAGTTGGGTGGAGCAGGCAGAGCTCTGGTATCTCGCCTCAAGCTAAAAACAGTCAGGTTTGGTTTTGCACAGAGCTAAAAATCTATTTGCATCCAGAGCAACAGACTCACAGCATGTCACATAGGTAAAGGGTGCTGCCAAGATCTGCACTACTATTTTTTTTTTTTTAATGTCCAAATTATTGGGTCCTTTAAATTTTTAAAGCTTGCTTACTCTATAAAGCACTGCAGATCCTCCCCCTGCCTCTATTCTGCAAGTTATTGATACCACACTCAGTTAACGTTGGTGAGTGAATATAGAATGGACACCATCTCTCTCAGTTTCAGTCATTTTTACTCAGCGCCACAGTTTGCATACAAACCACTGAATGGTGGTGCTTAAGTTTCCAAGTAAAATTCCTTTGATGGAAACAGAACTGCGCATTCATGATGTCTGTATTCACATTAAGTCTCATATGCTTCATTATCTGAAAGCCTACACATTGGGTCTAGTCTAGGCAGACTCTATCCTATTAAATAAAGAAGTGAGTGCAATTCTGATACAAAAAGTTTAGAGAAAATGTGTTCTTACATTTGTTTGGGTGGCAACTGCAGGCATATTATTGCAATTCCAACCTACCCGCTGTGCTTGTATTGGCTTTGTGTAGAAGATAAAAAAGAATGAGATGGAAATCCAATTTTCATTAGTGAGTCCACTCCAAGGCACACTTAACTGAGGTACATAAAGGTCTAGAAGCCATTGAACTGGTGATGAGATGAGGGGAGACTCCGTGTAACCCATGAGGGTGTTGAGTAGCAGTGGGAATTCTGGATGTGCTGAGGATACCACAGCATAGGTGATCAGGGCAGAGGCACAACATGATCTACAACAGCTCCAAAACAGTTCACAGATCCCCCAAGAACTGGCTTTGGTCCCACCAGCTCACTTAACCGTGACAGCACAATTGATTTACCTCAACTTTGCTCTCAGGCTGAGAAATGGGTGTGTACATATTTAAAGAAGCCAGCTGTTGCATTCAACTTTACATTACAGTTCATGAGGGGAGGACAACATGCTATTTCCTTCACAACACAATAAAACATCATGCACAGTTGTTCCTACAGTTATGCTCCAGAAGACACTGTGCTGATTGCAGTATTGTCATCTAAGCATCACCTCATGGAAAAGAGTTGAAAGAAAAACAAATAATTAAAAAAATCAGGGGATTGATATCATATTGACAGTCTGTTTGATTGGCTATTGTGTTTCTATGTTACATCTCTTTTCCTTACCCTTTCACTATCCTTCCTATTCATAAGGCAAACTACTTGAAGCAAATGGTATTCTTCCATATGGTGCAACTTAAGAAAAAGCAATGGGTCAGAGCTGTTTACAGAATCACGCAATAATTAGATTAAAAGGGATCTGTGAAGATCATCCAGTTCAAGCCCCTGCTCACAGAGTTAACTTTGAAATTATACAAGACGAGAACATAACCTGATTTTTCTACAGTGACTACTCCAATGGAACACCAGTCTCATTCAGGCAATGGTATAAATTATGTGCATGTCTAGATCAAAGACATATGGAAAATCATTTAGGTAGAAGATCCGCATTAAATGAGTTGAGATCTCCTTTCAATATGCATTCATAAGGTGATATTTACTTCAGTGCTAGACTCCAATTATACAGCTGCATATTATCAAAATACACACTAAAATGAGGCTAGCATTACAATCATTATTTCCTGACTTCTGTGTGCTTAACACCCTCATTATGTAACTTTAAAAAAAATGATGATTTGTAGATAAAATTCAGAAAACAAGGCAAAAGAGGAAAGAAGGAGAAAAATCCAGAATGAAAAAAAAAAAATTACTTGGCTAGGCACTGTGGAAGACGCTATACGTCATGTACCTCATACAGCCTTCAAGAAGGTGCTCCTCTTCTACATACCTTAGAAAGTCTGCAGAAGGAAGTTTTGAGAGCTGCAAACTGTAGGAACCATGCAGTGCTCACCTTTCAAGATGCATCGTGAATGTGGTAAGGCTCTGCAGTGAGAAACCTGCCAATGGCAAGAATTACTTGTCACAAGATTTAAACAAGGCCCGTGCACTGCTGCAAGGAGATTTAACCCCTCAAAATAGGGATTAATGTGATTACTTCCACGATGAATGGGGTGAATTTTATCCAAATGGAATACATCTAGAAACATTATAAACACTGCAATTCTGCTTCCGTACGAAAAAACCCAAACCCTATGATGCTCACTGCACTTCCATTTTCTATTCCGTTCTGTATCAGTTTTTTCTACTCGTAACTACTTTACTTGCTATCAGATTTAGGGAACTGCAATGTTCAGATTCACTACTATTGCATATCTTGCTATATTTGATTACAGTAGGCTGTCTCTTTTGTCTTGAAGATGACTCTTGATTTTTAGTTTAGCTTTACAAAAACAGTTACATTTAATAAGGTGATCGTCTTTGTAAAAGAAACTAATCCCCAAATATCCCCAGAGCATTCGCTGACTTTTCGGATACTGTTTTCTTGGTTGCTCTGTCTGAAAGTGGTTGGACTTTGCTCGTCTCTGCAGCTGGTCAAGCAAAGAGTTAGATGCTCAGCCCTTCCAAAGCTTAAGTCAATTAGGCATCTGAGGTTGCATAGTAGAAGTTGATGCATTCAAAACCACCCCCTTAAAAATTTCACGCCAGGATTGTTTAGACTGAACAGGAGAACAACATTTCAAAAGAACAACCTGCTCAAAAGCTAAAAAATGCTTCTAAACAAAAAAGTAAAACTAAACATACTAACAGAAACTGTTCAAAACAGCAGTAATTCATTAAGAAAATAACCACTGTTCACCCCAAGAGATTCCCAATGCATTTCACAAATCATGAATTAAAGTCAGACTCACTTTGTATTTCTGGTATCCTGACAGGCTTCATCAGAGGCGGATGCAGCAGTGCTGGGCAGGGGGGCCCCACACTGCTGTAGTTTCTCCCTGGTGTGTTTTAAAGGATTACAGCTGCTCCATTGGCTTCTCTTGCTAAAACTACCCAGCACTTTAATTAAGAAGCCCTATTATGAGCTCTTTTTTTGCCACAGCCTCATTGAGAGCAACACTTCTCTGGACACCTCAGGTATGGGTTAGCTGAGCTGGTAAGCCTCAAAGTTAAGATATGATGACTGTGTCCTTTGGCCCCAGATTTACCCTGGAGGGTACCTCCGTTTTGGCTGCTGCTTTCCCCAACTCTATCCCTTCCCCTAACAATGAAATCCATCCTCCAGTGCTTTTCAGCAGTGCACAGCAGGTTAGCAGCAGAAGCAAAAACTGCCCAATTAAAATCAAAATGTCAGATGTGCAGAAGGCAAAATGAAATCTGCCTGGGCTATCAGGGCAAACGCTGTTAGACTTATGCAATTATCTGAAGGATAATTGATGACCACAGGCAATCAACCTACAGTTGCAGGTCTCGTGCAAGAAATGTGCTAAGGCATATCATTCAGTATTGACTCAGAGGAAAGGGCTTGATTCTCTCTGAGTCACTAACATCATCTCCTGAAATGCTGAGGGTTTCCTTAGAAATTGCCCCTAAATTACCAGATGAAATCACAAAGTGCTTAGAAGACTCAAAAGCAATGGCTACAAGTGTGCTACCATGCCCACTGTCTCTGTAAGTTATGTTATACAAAGAATGGTGAACGCTCTTTAGCTGGCTGTGGAGAGGAAAGGAATCCTTCAGTTGAGAATGTATCTATGATGATTTATTACAGAAAGACAGTAATAATACAGGTAAAAGCAGGTGTGGGGAGCTTCAAGGTGCTACCAAAGAGATAGAAATCAAGACAGAAAAAAGAACTCTTATTCTAGAGTACCAATGGCTACCCAAAGAACTGTCCTGAAACAACTGCCCTGGTACAACAAAACTAGGAGAGCTCTTTCCTCCTTTCTACTTCCCACTCTTCATTTACCTTTCTCTTTAGAATGAGAGCTTGCTGAGGACTGGATTTTCTTCTGTTATGACTCTGCCTGCAACTCAAGAACTGATGTGTTTAGTTGTTCTTGGTGTTTTTTTTTTTTAACCAAGATGGCTACTGCACAGTAAATTCCCCATTGAATCATTACCTTGATGTAGCTGTTTGAAGTGCCTTCCAGGCAGGTGTATTGTATTGGCCACAGCTGGCCACATTGCCATAAAATCACCTGTGCTTTCTCTTCCCTGAGATTCCACACTGAGGAATATATCTGGAGTAAACCACTTGAATATTGCAGCACTGCTTGGTTTTGGTGATGAAGACAACCTCTGTCAGTGCAGAGCATCCAATGTCAACAGTGTCTGAAAGTCAGTTGAAGCCTTTCTGTAAAAGAACTAATTAATAATAAAGCTCAGGATTCTTAAAGAGCTGACCCTCAGAAGCTCTGGAGATTTAAGAAAATATTTCTAAACCCATTCTGCAGTTGCAGTTATTAATGATTAACATCATCTTGTGGTTGCTTCAACCCCGTTTCCCACAGTGACCTCAACAGTCAAGGGGAGCAAATCAGAACAGTGTTGAAAAACAGTTAAAAAAATAAAAATAAAATTAATTAGTATATACTACAGAGGTACTTGTCACATCTGAGTACTTACAGCTGATCTGAGTTTTGTATTTAAAATAAGGATTCGGTGGTTTTGCTATGTAGGAGAAGCATGGTGTACATTAAGAATTACAGCACTAGCTGCAAGGGCACACAATGAATTTCCTGAGAAGTTACAAGTAAACCTATTAACTAATTTATTAAGTAAAAGGATTCTTAAATATGGGTTTTTTTAGAAACTTGACACTTTAGGTTTGATCTTTTGTTTGTTTCTATAGCCTCAATAATGGAATAATGAATCCAGATTTTTATTCTTCTTAAAGCAAAACCCTTGCATTGACAACATACAAAGATTTTTTTCCAAGATGTTTTTTACCTCTATGATACTTCTTAAAAAAAAATGTCTTTCAAAAAACCCCTGGTGTTTACTTTATTCCTTCAGACGATGCTACAAATGGAGCTTTCAAGATACCTGAGCTGCCCACAGCTAGAATGACCCTTTCAAAATGTTCATTACTTCACACCGGGATTTTCAGTAGACAGCAGAGCCTCCACCATCTTTCAACAGGGACACTTGGCTTCACTTCTGTTGGAAACAGAGGGAAGCAGCTGCTGCTCTGAGTGATGAAACTCTAACTGTGAGCAGCAGTATCAGCCCCACTGAGAACTGCCGTGTTGTGATGTCGCGGGAAAGGAAAAATATTTTCTTGAACATCATTTAAAGCTAATCTGACAACACAAACATTCCGAGGCTTTGATTATTGAATGGGCTCATTACAGTGAAAGGAGAAGATAACATTAAACCATTTAGGCATGTAGTACAGGTGTAATTACTTGGGATACAGGAGATAGCTATATACACTATATCAAATCAGTAGGTAAAGGATGCAAATGCCGAACATGGCCTCTGCTGAAGGTAATGACATGATTATGACAACGCCTATATAATTTTCAGCAATGTAATACTGCATGTCTATTCATCTCCTTCTACTCAGAATGTTGAAGTACTTGATGACTTCAGTGAATTAAGATTCACCTTCTGTTCAAGATGGGAAAACACTTTCAGACTAGATTCTGTTCTCTTTGACAGTAGAGCATATCAGGAGAATTTTTGTTTGCTTTGATGGATTTAATCTCAGAGATCTGTTACCCTATTAGGATTACCAAGAAAGGAGAATCCAAGAACATAATGATTCAATGATGGCATTATTTCTGTCTGCCAGTATAATGATAGTACAGTTTGAAACTTGATAATACAACTTGAAACTGTAAACTAATCACTCTGTTAGAAAGTGTGTGTTCTATCCCCACGTAGAGCTCTGCACACCTGATTGATAGAGGGTTTGGTCACCTTGCTCAGAATCATTAAGTTTTGACTACTATTTGGGTAGCATACAGGACGTGACAGACGAATAGTCTGATCTGGTACGGCAAATGCCGTGTACAAACAATCAGACAGAATGCCTGCAGTATCCTATCTTTATACGCTATACACTTCTGCATGAAAAACAATTACCAGGGCACATTCATGCACAAGGACAATTTTAGAAGTTTGTCCACATCCTAAGACAACCCCTGTTTAGATTGCAGGGTTATGGAGTGTTTCTCCTGTGCCAGAACTCAGCTGTGGAGTGGCTATGACCTGGAAACATGGTGTTATTTATGTAGCTATATTTTTAAAAATAAAAAAGGAATGCCAGAGCTCTGAGGGTTAAAGTTGGTACTCTAAGGGTTACTGGTGGATTTGTCATGATGAGATAATAAAAAAAAAATTGGGGAACTAGAAAGGAAAGTCTAGAGAATGTAAGGCATACAGCACCTCAGGGGAAAAAATGTCATGTAATTAGTGCTGTACACTGCTCCGAAAAGATAAAACCATATGTAGAAAAGGTTATAGAGTCAGGCAGAGGGAAGAAGGGTGGATCTTGGAGCTCCAAGAGAGGGAAAAAAGTTTCATCATGTATCAGTGCATACTGTTCATTTAGGCATTCCAGTAATTTTCTTTCATCTCATAATATTTTGCAGTACTGACCTGTGATCTTAGTGCCAGGATAATGTGTCCATTCTTAGCAAGCTTATTCCTCAAAGGTTAGTCTCCCCTGCTTAGATGTTATTTAAATGGTACTTTAGCATGGTTCTCTAATCAGCAGAACAATTAAAAAAAATTAAAGCTACAGGAAGAACTCAGACCCTTACAAGATCTCTATTTTTTCATTCTCATCTATTTGAAATCCTTCTAGAAACAGTATTTACAACAACTATCTTCAGAGATAGCATCCTGAGCTAAAGCCAAAAGGAACAAAAGATGCCCTTCCTCTCACCCAGATTACCCAGCTGGGTAAGTCCAACCTCCATGGGACAGTAGTGACTAAACATCAGAAGCATTTGAGTAAAGCATCAACCCACTGGAACAGCTGTATCACAGCAATCAGTTTGTACCTTGAAGCATGAAGACTTTAGTACATACACTTGTTAGCCTAGCTAGTATCACTACCAATTGTACTCATGCCTGTGCAAGTCTCTTCCCCCCCCCCCCTTTTAAAAAAGCACTTATTTGGAATTGTGTTTGAAATTAAACTGTCACTATAAAATGCAGAAACAAGGCAGCCTTGTCTAGTGACGAAGAAAGAAGATCGAGAATCCAGTTTCCAAGCCCACTACAGCTTAAAGATTTGCTGTGCATCCCTGGGCAAGTCACTTCACCTCTCTGTACTGTAGGACACATCTAAAAAGTAGACTGTAGCCATACATGGAGATATTTAAATGAAATGGGGTACCAAAAGCCATAAAGCTGCTTTCTCAGGAGGCCAGTTCATTTTTGCAGATTGTCAGGTTAGTACAGCTTTAGTGCTTCTGTCATCTCAATGTCATTACATTGGTGTACACGGGCCTGATTATAAAGTGAGAGCGTTCATACTCACCTGCCTTAAGGGCAAATGGGCAAAATGCCCATCAACAGGCAAAAATGTGTGTAGACATTAAGATGAAAGGCTTATACGGGAAAGGCAAAGTTATTGCCATATAACCCCTGATGGTAATATACTTCCTTTGCTGCTGCCCAAACATTTCCACCACAAGGAATGGTGGAAAACTAAGATGAAAAGACTAAGAAGTCTCCTTCAAGGGTGCAGCAAAATAAAGATTTTTGAAAGATACCAAGAGGTTTATGGATACTGTTTGTGCTGACTGGAATATGGCTTGCAGCCAGCCCTGAGCTTCAGATCAAGTGTGTGACAATCATTATATTGTGTATAGCAATTTGAGGAACTGAAAGAAGACAGAATAGCTACGTTCCTCTAAAACCAAAACCATACTCTGGAGAGAAGGGAGAAAGGTAGAGGAAGACAGGGCCTTATTTTGTAAAAGCTAAAGAAACTAAAATGAGCCCCAAAGACATAGGCATATCAAGTGTTGATAGCAATACTTCATTACTGGTAAAACGTATGGCGTTTTCTCAACCACAGTGGGTAGGCCCTCCTGACTGATATAAGAGACTGAACTTGCCAGTGAGCGTATTTTATGGTGTGTATCTCACAGCTCCACTAAGAGGAGAATTTCAAGTGAAAATACTGTTAAGGGAAGAAACATAGTGAAGGGAACGAAGATCATTTTCATTATGTCAGGCAGTAAAAATAAACCAAAAGAGACTGCCTACAGCAGTAGTTCCAGACCTGTGGCTTAATAGCAACCTCTTGCCTGCCAAACTTTCAGATATTGTGTGTGGCCACAGAGAGCTGCTGTCAAGCTGCAAATTGATGGGGAGGGCAAAGTATAACATTGTACAGAGGGCATTATATCCTCGCTGCTGTGGCCCTTGAATCAGCAAAAACGGAGGGCACTGGGGTATGGTTGCAAGAGTAGAAGGTAAGTATGGGAAAAAAAAAAGAAATTCTGTGTGATTAGGTAAAGGAAGACAGTTTGAAGACAAAAGTAATCCCTTTTATTAGAGGAATGGCTATAACTTATAAAAACCAGACAAGTTTGCAGACACGCTGTACCTTCTGCAAACTAATGTAAGAAGGTATAAAAGATCAGGACAGACAGCTAATTTGAGCAGCAGAGCCCTGGTTCTCTGAGAGTTGTACAAAATTGTATCTTGTGAAAGACCAATTTTTGTTTTGCCCAGGCAGATCCCTCAGTCTTAACAATTTTAGGAGATATGTGTGGAAGGGAGTGGTAGAAATGAAAACAACTTCAAAATCCAGATAACAAAACTAAGCTAAGTTCGATGTGTACGTTTCACATTGCCTATCCATCCACCTCCCGGTTATTCTGCTTTCGGACAGAAACGGGAATGACACACAGTGCTGTTTTGTGTTTAATCTCTTACCTGTGGGATTGTCAAGTTTGCGTGCAAGAAAGAAACAGAAGAAAATGTCTCTAAATAGGAAAGTAAGGGGAATTGCTTCACTGGACACCAACACTGAGTCACTAACAAGGGAACATTTTTTCTCTATATCATTTCCACAACTCGTTTCACCATCTGTCCTGGTTTCGGCTGGAATAGGGTTAATTTTCTTCCTCGTAGCTGGCATAGTGCTGTGTTTTGGATTTAGTACTGGAAGAATGTTGATAACCCACAGATGTTTTAATTGTTGCTAAGCAGTGCTTACACCAGTCAAGGACTTTTTCAGCTTCCCGTGCTCTGCCAGGTGCACAAGGAGCTGAGAGGGAGCATGGCCAGGACAGCTGACCCAAACTGGCCAAAGGGATATTCCAGACCATGTGACGTCATGCTTGGGGACAGTTAGCTGCGGGGAGAACGATCGCTGCTGGGGACAGGCTGGACATCAGTCAGTGGGTGGTGAGCAATTGCATTGTGCATCACTTGTTTTGTATATTCTGTATAGGCTATTATTATTATTATTATTATTATTATTCCCCTCCACTGCTTTTTTAAACTGTCTTTATCTCAACCCACGGGTTTTACTTTTTTTCCGATTCTCTCCCCCATCGCACTGAGGGAGTGGGGGGGGAATGAGCAAGCGGCTGTGTGGTGTTCAGCTGCCTGCCGGGTTAAAGCACACCACCATCACATCATAGCTAGGGTTTATGTCCTATTCAGAAACCTGGGAGCAGAGGCTAAAGCGTGGGCCTCTCTCTCCTTCCACTTAAAAGTGGACAACTGCATTGCTAGCTGCACCCACTACAGTCTTCCATGCCAAAATATAACTGGTGGACAACTTTTTTCTCATCCCCAAACCCAGCTCCTCCTGCCATGCCCATTTACTAAAAACTCGGTCATTATAAAGCCTTTCTTCTGCAGACAAATAGAAATGTGACCACTACTCCTGGTGCTGCTGAAGAGAGTTTAGATTAATATTTTTTCTAAGAAAATTTGGTGCTGATAGGGTGCTACTAAATCATGTCTTGGAGACTGATGCCCTTTTGCTCACGGGTTAACTACACGACAAGTATTATGAACTTTCTCTATGCACGCAAACACACATGAAACACACATAGACCTTGCTGTACGGCTCTATAGCACTCCATTCTAGAGAAATGTCTCATAACAATACTGCATATTATGCTTACAATGCATAAGAAAGCTTTATGAGAACATTAATAAGCAATTGAGGAGAAATTACATTCATGCCTGGCTCCTCGAGACCTCCCCACATTCCACAGGAGACACCAAAAGGAGGGTCAACGATGCCAGATCTACAGTTGCCAGAATGATTTTTCTTTCTAGGCATCTTGCCTCAGTCGGTATGATCACACTGGGTGTCTCAGAGATACAATAGTCTGATCTCTGTCAGAGCAACCTTAAAATTTCTGGGAAATCTGGATATCTCTTTGTTTTGCGCTTCTGACTGGAAAAAAAATTTCCCCATTTATTATTTTCTTTGCTCTGTTCCAATAAATACCCTCCTTCTGAGCACAGCCCTGATCCCCCATTGACAAGGAGAAAAATTTGATGCACCTGCGGTGGAAACGAAAACACACTAAATCTTGAGCTTTACAGCTAAGACCTTACTTGTTTAACAGAAAATGCGATGCTAATTTAGCCAACGCATCTACCCTTAAAACTTCACAGTGAAATAAAAAAGCAGCTGAGCAGATCTGTACCTTTGAGGCAGGTGGTTGCACTCTGCTGTTTCAGGATCTGTGTTGAGACAAAGCAGTGGGGAATGGCACGAGTCTCATAACAAGATAACCAACTTGCCTCCTGTCTTCAGTGCAATTGCTTAGCAAGGGCTGAAGTCTGTGGAGCCATGCGGGACACACGAGTCTTCGCCACGGCATCTTCGCCTCTCCCTCATGAGGCACAGCCAATCAAGCCGGCAGGGTGCAAACCGCAAACCACACAGGAACTCACAGGCATGGTAGCATACAGAGCTGGGTGTGCGACTCGGCTTAGTGTGGTTTTCTTCTCTTACTGCGAGGGTTACAGCTGCTCTAGAGCTGTTTCTCTGAACGCTACAGCTGTTCAACCCCAGAACTTGCTCAATACTCAGTTATTTAATGCATCGGCCTGGAAAGTACTGGCCTCTTTGGACACAAGTAGTGATCCTCAGGAGCAAGCCACCAAAAGTCTCCTAAAATGTGCCGTCTTCTCCAATATGGGGTGACAGTGGAGGTCATAAGTTATCAGCATTTGAACTCGTGGAGCACCTCTCCTGTCACACAACCTGTTTGATGTGACAGAGTCCATGGTGCATACACACAGTGCACCCGCACGTGAAGATGTGCTTGTATCTCTGTAAGCAAACACAGGCAAACACAAAGACCATCTTGTACCTGCGTAGGCACAGGCCAAGAGGGAGTTGATATAGAGAGTCCGGGATTTCATTACATTCTGCAATTACTGTGAACCGGGGAGCTCTCTTCAAGCTGTGAGAAAAGAGGTATGAAAATCTGATTCTTATAAGAACACAGAAAAGGCACATTTACCTATTTAGCTGTTGTGTCAGTTCAGTCACTAGTAGGGGTGCATCACAGGATATTGGTGACCTGGACAGAGTGACTGTGATCTACCCAAAGCAGTGACGATTTGTATGGCCAATACCTTTGCTGTGGCTCTTTCAGATGGCAAAATATTTATGGACCACGTAAGTGCCATAAAATTGAAACTATAATTAAGGCTTTCTCCTCAGGTGAGTAAAGGCTGAAAAGACACTGCTGGGTTACTGCACTAAGCTCCTCACACCCCTGTCAGTTCCTCTTCCCGCCACCCCTGCAGAAAATGGCAGGGGTCTCCTGTCCCTCTCAGCAGGGGCTGGAAGCCAGGGAGGGGTGGGGCTTGAGGAGTGATTGACAGCCCCTCTGAATGCAAGGACCCTATGGAGGAAGGGAGGGCTGGTTGAATGCATTCTGATTCGATTAGGAGAGAAAGTGGGTGGGTGTTTGCAGGTGATTGGCAGCAGTTTGAATCTCCTGGGGAAAAGGTTACTCAACAGTCACTGCGGTTCAGGCTTCCTGAGGTGACTGGGATAAGGAGAGGGCTGACCCTGGTGGTGTGAGTCCACCCGTGTGTCCTCATTTACATCAACCCCATTGGTAATTAACACCACACATTAATTAGACTGGGGCAAGAGTTACCCCTGCCCTATGCTCGCCCTGTCCCTGCTGGGGTTGGGCTCCGGAAAGGCTGGTGTCCTCCCACTTTTTCTTCTTTGCTCTTGGACCTCCAGTCCCTCCTCTGGCCTGAGGGCTGCCAGGGGCCACCAGGGCCCCTGTGGGAGAAGGGACATGGCTGATTGGAAAACTGGTTGCTACTGGAGAGGGGAAAGCCCCCTTAGGAAACACAGCCCTTGCCCTGGCCCATGGGCTGCCTGGTACTGTGCCTGCAGCCATTAGCACCAGGCATTTCAGAGAAAAGTAAAAAGGAATTGACATAAAGAGAAATTTCTCCCTGCAGCCATCACTCAAAGACCACTTAAAATCATAGGCTAAAAACATAATCTAAATTCTGACTGGTAGACTGTAAGCCAGGAAAGGACCATTTGCTGCAGCTGAAATAGATTCATAAATTATCGAGTTCTTGAGTCAGATCCACACATTCCGATTTCTTGAAGCCACTTTTCCTGACTTTGTACCTGTTTGAGGATCTGGATGGGATTTCATTTCAGAGCCTGGCCAAATGGTCTGTGCTTTTTCCAGCCTGCTGCATAAAAGCAGCAGAAAAAAATGTTTTAACTCCTAATTATTGTTGACTTTGAAGAACAAGCAGCCAGATTGCTCAGCTTCTATCTGTGTACCTCAAAAGAGCACAGGTGTTACAAACAGAAATGGGCAAAATTTTGTTGATAATATTGAAATATCTAATATTGAATGAAACTATTCTTAATAATATCTTGTGTCCAAAAAGTTACAGAGAAGGATTAAGCTGTTTCGTGAATTTCTATTAAATTAATTCTTTTGTTATTTTTAATGGTTTAAGCAGTTCCAATATGAAATGTTCTGATTTTTCAGCTTAAAACAGCTCTTTATCTCAAAATTTACTTTGATTTGAATAAAAAGGTAAAAACACCTTAAATAATAAAAAATGTTGTTGGTCAAAAGACTTTCCATTTGGCCAAAGAGAAAATACTCTCAACTATTCAGCCAAAAATATTTTTTTTGTTTTGCATTAGATGTCACTCTTGCAAGCGAACTGAAAATCAGTTATATATGCAGCATTGTAGCACCAGTCACACAGAGTTGGCTCAAGAACAGAGGCACAGAATGCAAGAATCAAATGTTGATGTCTTGTCTACTAACACTAAGACCTAAAAAGTGTTCAGCTTCATTTATATGACATGATTTGTCTGACATTAACTGACAAACAAAAGCAAAAGACAGGAAATTAATGCATGGCTATATCCAGGCTGCAGGCGTTTTTAGTCTCAGTGGCTCAATCTGAATATTATTTAAATGCAAACATCGACCAGATTTTATATTTATGGGGTTTTTTTGGTTTTGTGGAGGTTTTTTTGGTCAGAGGAGGATCTTTTAGGCTAATAACTTGTTTTAGTTATGATTCAACTATTTTTACATATTTTTCTCTCTAGCACATCCTACCCTTTTAGTGTCTTAGAGTACTATATAAGTAACTACAGCTGAGTATTAAGAGTACATGGTTTGTCAATGTAGGAGTCCAGTGTGGTATTGCCCCCCAAATACTTGCACTGTAATGCCATGTCACTGTAGTACATTCTTTTTACACCTCTGAAATATTCCTGAGCTCCTGAAGTGAGGGGGAAGCATGTGCTGGCATTGTTCATGTTGTTCTCTTTGTATGTGTATAGAACTTCACGTTGTCACTCTTGGACTTTTCACCATTTACTAAAAACAAAGAAATAGAAGAAAGCATGGCATACCGATCAAAATCCTAGACCCACAAAAATCAAACCGAGTGGAGACCCAGCTAAGGAAAACACACGTACTTAGCTTTCTGTTACAGCAAGTTAGGATTGCAGAAGGATTATCTAATCGACTCGTAAAACAAAACAAATCAATGTATGCTGCCGTACAACCAATGTCACAGTGCAACTCTGATGGAGAGAGAGAGAGAGAAACATAGAAAGGCAAAACAGGAATCTCATGATTGAAGTTTTTAATAGCTTCATTGAAACACATGATAAAATCAGTTTCCCTCAGCAGGAGAGAGACAGATAAAAATGGACTCCATTGGAAGTGCAAACAACAAAGAGACAAGGGGAGTTGTAAAACATACAGCACCCTCCTCATAAAGATCCCACTTTCTCTCAGTTCCAAGTGTTTGCAACTGTCTCTCCCTGTGAAATCTTAATTAAACCAATATATTTCCCATCTAAGTCATTTGAAGATGTGTATGGTTTGATAAAAAGGTTAATTAGCTCTATTCTTTAAAAAATTAAAAAGGTACCATTTTGATCCTTTGCTTGAAATTCATGCCTACCCTTGCATTAAAAATATCCCTCAATCTGGACTGTGGTAGCTAGCAGACAGGAGAAGCATGCTCATAAGTGGGGCTGTGGGGAGGGGGCTCAGATGGAAAACAAACATTTGTTATGAATTTTAATATTTTTACCTTTTGTTCTCATAAAGCGTATTACAGATTGTCTCCCTTCTTGAGTGTTTGCCAGGGCTTGAAATCAAATTGATACATAACGAAGGCGGACCCTTCTCTGGTGACTCAGCTGGGAATTGCACAGAAATCTACCCAGCCTGATGCTAACTAATAAAAGGAAAGGAGGGGAACAGGAACATCTCATAAAGCTGTGAAATGACAATTCATTCCCTTTTTATGCATTGACTAAAATGCACCTCCTATTGTGTATACCAGCTGTGAAAGCTGACAGATCCAAGCTGATGGGTCTAGAAACACTGTTGCTACAGTATAGCAGAGCAATTCACAGAGGCTCTTGTTTTAATTCTTTCACCTCTCTGCTCTTGGTTAGAACCCTTCAACAGTTCTGTAGACAGAAGGGTTGCAATAGATCGACACGAGACATTTCCTTCCCTTCTCCCTAGTAACAGATATTGTCCTTTTGCTGTAATGTAACTTTCCCTGGACCTGACATTTGCATTTGGATCTTCTTGTAGGTGCGATCAAAATGCTAGCTACAGTAGCACCATAAGTCAACTGAAGCTGTGGTTTAATAGTTGAAGGTGTTAGGTTACGTTTAAACAAACTTACTGGAAAACAGAATTATTCATTTCTTCTTGGTAGACTTTTGATTGTGAAACACCTGAATGTGGTGATTTCAACCTGTAAATGTCAAAGCACTTAATTATGATGGCATACATTATTGTGTAGAACCAAGCCACTTTCCTTCTAGTTTGATGTCAAACTGTAGTCTCTCCAAAAGGAGAGACGAGGCATATTCTCTGTATTTTCTCCTTGGGTCTGTCACGATTGCTGTATTTTTGGTTAAGGACAGATGAGTGGGGTCAAAAGGTTATTGCAGAAAGCAGTCTCTTCTATCTTCCTGTTCATTAATTTGCCTACCATAAAATCCCAGTGTTGGTTGTCTTACGCAGATGGGACATGGAGAGTGAAATTATTTCTGTCTCTGCTCCTTTCTCCAGAATTTTAAGTGAATGATACCATGTTTGAGCTATTACATTTGCCAGAACTGTGTTGAGTTTTCTGATTTGGAGAACAGAATAAGCACTGCAAGACATGTCTGGCATCATTTACTGACTCTAGATGCAAAATAATTTTTAACCTATGGCACTCAGGAGGCACATGAAGAATTT